CCAATATACTCCCGTTGCACTCGGTATATGAAGAGTCGCTCTGATCAGGGAGAGAGCTGAACATGTCAGTAAGTAAATACACTATCTTTTAGCTGTTTCAGGCATTGTTAGATAAAGATGGTTATCGACAATCAAGGAAAGAACTTTTCTAGACCCCAAGCCTTCTTAAAAAATGAAACAGACTTTAGGCTATAATAATCCTAATTTAAATTCATTCATTTAACATGTATACAACAAGCACTTTTTAGAGCATCAGAATGTGCCATATCTGGCCAAGAGCCGGATAAACAAGTGATAAACGGATGTGATCATCTCTGCCCTGTGGTATTTATTGTCCAGTAATGGGTGTGTGTGTGTGTATAAAGGTATAATTATAAGTGATATACAGGTTCTGTGATGGAAATGAGCATGGCATTAGGAGAGGGAACAATAAGAGGTGGAACAGGGACACTGGAAGGGCAAGAGCTGGACTAAAGAAAGGCTCTGAGTAATCATTCTTTTAATGAGCATTACTGGTGAGTCAGAATAACACATTCAAATTACATTTAGAAGTTTTTAATGTGCTAAAGCAATGAGTCATAATATTTATTCAAGCCATAGTTTAGATAAAAGAGTAACCTAACAGCAGAATGGTGGTATGCAACCCAAAAGTCCAGTTACATCTGAAAAATGTGTCTCCTCCATGTCTTCATTCTTAGGCTTGTAGCTAGCCATGTTAGCAGATCTGGTGAGCTATCCTTAGTGCATGAAAGGTGGGCTCTTCTTTATAATCTGGACCTGCCCTATTTCCCCAGATCAATGACTCATTTCTTCTGAGCCATGAATCACTGCTATTCTGTAACTATCATGAGGATTTGGCATTCTAAAACACATAGCTGGGCCAGGGCATTTCTATGAAAGCATTCCCTAACATGGATAGACGTTTCTTTTCGTCCTTACCCTCAAAAGTCTTAGGATAGCTGGGTCAATTTTAATACCTTTTCAAAAGGCAGCCTGACCGGTGCATTATTTTTGAGTGGGTCATGGTGTTAAAGTCAGAGTGATGTTACTGACTGTTCTTTGGGGTTGGCTGAATTCATTCTGGCTGTCTGAGTAAGGATAAAAGTGCTTCTGACACAGAGTTTGGGCATTTGAATCATTCCTGGCTGTCCAATTGCTCATGGACGTTTTCACTCTCATTTTCGTAAGGAAGAGAAATGTTATCTAAAGAAATGAGATAACCTCATAATATTTATATAAGGGAAGGTATTTATTTGTTGGTTTTGAAATATTTAAATTTGCTTTTCCAAATTAATACAGGTAGATTTCATAAAAAGTTGAATATTAAAGAACAGACCACTATCAACTCTTTTTGGAATTTCCTGTTTATTTACCTCTAGATTTCTAAGTGATATGCCACTGGTTCTTAACCTTTTTGTTCTCAGGACTCCTTTGTAGTCTTAAAAGTTATTGAGACCTAAAAGAGAGAGATTTTATCTATGTGGTTTATATCTGTAATTATCATATTAGAAATTAAAACTGAGAAACATCACCCATTAGTCATTTGGAAAATGAGTAATGCAGACCTTCCAAATGTTGGCACATTTTTTATATGATAGTTTTTAAAAATCACATTTGTTAATATGATAATTGATTTCATCAAAAAGTCTAAGTATTGGGAAGCCCTAAACTTACTGTGGAGGATCCAAGTTTTCCAAATCTCTTATTTTTCCTTGAAAGCTCAATTTTTTTTATTGGCGACAATTGTTACAGTTTTTTGTACTTAAAATGTTATCAGTTATTTGTACTGGAAATGAAATTTTGAGAAAATGACTGCTAAATACCCAGGTCTGAGAAGCCATAATTTGTCAGTCACTCTTCAGTACCTAGTTCAACTAAAAAAAAAATCACACAAGTGCTCATATCCAATAGAAATGCTTTATGCTACTTCCCATTTCACCATCCAGAATGTTAAAAAGACATGGACTTACCCTGACCCATGTAGCTTAATTGTTGGGTGTAGTCCCATACACCAAAAGGTGGCGGGTTCTATTCCTGGTCAGGGCACATGCCCAGGTTGTGGACTCGATCCCCAGTAGGTGGCCTGTAGGAGGAAGCCGGTCAATGATTGTCTCTCATCATTGATGTTTCTATCTCTCTCTCCCTCTCCCTTCCTCATTGAAATAAATAAAAATTAAAAAACAAAACAAAACATAGACTCAAGGTTGAGATTTAATAAAAGTAATGATTTTTATTGCTTCATCAAGGATATTTTTAAGTAAAACCGGATTTTCTTTTTTAAGATTGCGAGTGTGAGGGTAAAGAACACAATGACCATTAGTCAATGTTGACAGCACCTTAATTTGTGCTGCTAAAGCACCAGCAATTTTACCCATTGTGACTTTTGCACCATCAGTGTAAATGTCAACATGTGAAAAGGCAAATAATATCTTAGTATTACATGAAATAGTTTTGTCTTCACAGAAAGTGAAATACACTTTGAGAACCACTGTAATACTTAATCTACTGTTGCTTGCTCTGCTGATATTAGCTATTTTCTATTGACTTCCTGTTCCAAAAGATGGTGGTTTAGCGCCTCTTCACTAAACCAGCACCTCTCTTGTTCCTTCCTGCATTGCCTCAATATAATTATAGCATACTGTTGCTTAAAAAAAATAATGTTTACCTTTCCGTTACTATGTGAGTATTATTCACTGCTAATCCAAGTAGGGAAAAATGAATGTTTTGTTTTGTTTTAATATGTTTTTATTGATTTCAGAAAGGAAGGGAGAGGGAAAGAGAAATAGAAACATCAATGATGAGAGAGAATCATTGACCGCTGCTTCCTGCATGTCCCCAGTGGGGACCGAGCCTGCAACCCAGGCATGTGCTCTGACAGACTGGGAATCAAACTGACCTCCTGGTTCATAGGTCAATGCTCAACTACTGAGCCACGCCAGCTGGCCTATTTTTTTGTTTTTGTTTTTTTAATTATTGATTTTTAGAGAGAGAGGAAGGGAGAGGGATGAAGAGATAGAAACATCTATGAGAGAGAAACTACATCAATCAACTGCCTTCTGTACACCCGCTGGGGATCAAGCCCCCGATTGGGAATTGAACCAATGACCTCTTGGTTCATGGGTTGACGTTCAACCATTGAGCCACATTGGCCAGGCTGCTGGTACAACTTTTTATTTTGACCTGGAGTTGATTACTATCTTGCTTTTTTATGTACTTAGTTCTGTGGTCCCATCACAGATTTGTCTCAATTCTCCAATACATTTGTAAAACATTTCCTAAATATTCTGTTCCATGCAGTTAAGTCATCGGGCCCATTTGTTTTTCCCTAGAGAAATCCCTCCCACAGCCTTTCTTCCTCTTGCTCCAATGGAGCAGCTGCTCACGCAGCCAGCTACTCAGCCTTTATTCTGGGGCAGCCCCTAACTGAAGGGAGAATGTGATGAGCTGTGGGAGTCTAAATGCTCATTTCCCAAACTTGAAATAAATTACTCTCTTTTGAGCCCCATGTCTCCTCCCTCGCTGTCAGTGTGTTTCCACATCCCCAAACTTGGATCTCCAGATGCTGAAACTTGCTGGGGTTCTGATGCACAAATTGGCTTCTTTCATTGACATCCCCAAGGCACTTGGTTTCTTGATTTTTCAACTCTCCCACCGTGTGTACACAATACTAACACTCTATACCAGCGGTTCTCAACCTGTGGGTCGCGACCCCTTTGGGGATCCAACGAACCTTTCACAGGGGTCGCCTAAGACCATCGGAAAAACACATATAATTACATATTGTTTTTGTGATTAATCAGTATGCTTTAATTATGTTCAATTTGTAACAATGAAATTGGGGCTCACCACAACATGAGGAACTGTATTAAAGGGTCGCGGCATTAGGAAGGTTGAGAACCACTGCTCTATACCCACTGTTTTAACCTTGCTGTTAAAATTTTAACTGTGTATCTTGGGGTTCTTTCCATCTCCATACATAGTGATCTTTATCATTCTCTTTATAGAGCTGCATAGTGTTCAATTATGTGGCTGTATCATAGTTTATTTATCAGTCCCCTAGTGATGGACACTGGGTTGTTTCCAATTGCGCTTTAAATGAGTAACCTGTACATTTGTCGTTTTGTATATACCCAAGTGTACCTGCATGATAGATTTCCACAAGTGAGATCGTTGGGTCAAAGGATAAATGCATCTGTAATTTTGGCAGTTGTTGCCATAGTCCTTTCATGGGAGTTGTACCATTTTACATCCCTGCTAGCAGTGTATGAGAGTGATCAAACTTTTACACTTTTGCCAATCTATTACATGAGAAATGCCATTTCCCTGTAGTTTTCCTGGCCTTTCCCCTTATTATGCACCTCCACATTTTAAACATTTTTTTAATGTATTATTCTGTGTAAACTTCTGGCCAAAAATCTAAGTTATAATAAAAATTTCTAACTTTAAATATATAGAATTAAAATAAAATACCATAATTTATAGAAATATACTTAGGTTATTTGCCAGAGTTGGGCCACTCCTGGGTGACTATGACCCATCCTCCTTACTTTGATGATTCAAGGAACTAACAGAATAATTTTTATTTAGCTAGGTCAGATGAAATTTTATAGAAAGGAATGAACACACTCAACTCATCTTCAAATAAGCTAAACTAGTACTTACTTAATGCATACTGTAGAAAGCTGTAAGTCTTTTTAGGGGAAGCCAGGTTCCACATCAAAGACCCTGCTCTGCATGGTTGGCTGTATTTGTTTTCTCATCCATCTTCTCACAGTTGTATCATTCTTCATAGAAACCACTTTCTAGTTTCCTGAGTAAAGGGGCAATGTGATTTGAATATTGCCAGGTCTTCTCATTGTTACAATTAAATTATACCATAATAGTGGATTGTTTAATGTTCTCACTCTAAGTTTGTCACACTTTTCTTCTTAAGGAACATGTGAAGCCATCTGTTATTAATTCTCACATTTCAGTCATGTCCCATATTCCCTTCCTTGCAGGTGGTATTGTGAAGGCAAGGAGCTTGAAAATTCCCCAGATATTCATATTGTCCAGGCGGGAAATCTGCACTCACTGACCATTGCTGAAGCCTTTGAAGAGGACACAGGACGCTATTCCTGCTTTGCTTCCAACATCTATGGGACAGATTCAACTTCTGCTGAGATTTATATAGAAGGTAAAGCAAAATACTCTTGGAGTATGGCATTTACTGGTAAGACATATAGTTATAATAAATAACTATTTATTGAGGGCCTATTCTACCACACACCCTTTTAGGCAGTGGGGATAACAGCAGTGAACCAAATAGACAAAAATTCCTAGGTTCATGGAAAGATGGAATTTACATTGTAATGGAGAGACATAAAGTATATGAGATTTAAAAAAAACAAATAAAATATATGATAGGTGTGTGTGTTGGGGGTAGGAAGCTTCCCACATCAACAAGCAATTCTCCATGACACCAATTGAATATCCTACAATTCAACTCAACTCTTATACCAACTACCTGGAGATAGTGTCAGATCCAATACATTAAGGGCTCAGTTCTATAAGATTGCTCCCACTTCACTTCAAGTGCCAATCACAAGTAGTAGGTCCCCAGGTTACCCACCATTTCTGTCTGGCTTGGCTACAAATCTGAGGTTCCCATAACCCCCAACTCAGGTTCAATTAATTTGCTAGTGTGTCACAAAACTCAGGAAAACATTTATTTATTTATTTTTAAATATATTTTTATTGATTTCAGAGAGGAAGGAAGAGGGAGAGAGATAGAAACATCAATGATGAGAGAGAATCACTATTGGCTGCCTCCTGCATGCCCCTCACTGAGGATCAAGCCCACAACCCAGGCATGTGTCCTCGACCGGAATCGAACCTGGGGCCCTTCAGTCCGCAGGCTGATGCTCTATCCATTGAGCCAAACCAGCCAGGGCAGGAAAACATTTATTTTTGATAAGCAGTTTATTAAACAATATGATAAAAAATACAGATGAACAACTAGACGGAGAGATAAAGAGAGTGAGGTCTGGGAGGGTCTGGAGCATAGGGGCCCCGTCCCAGTGGAGTGGGGGTGTGCCACCCTCCTGATGTGGATATGTTCGCCAGCCTATGAGCGTTCCAAACCCCATCCACCTATACCTACAATGTCTAAGGAGGCTTCCTCGGGTAGGCATTTTTTGCCCCTCTTCACCTTCTGGGTTGTGGGGGGTGGGGCTGAAAATTCCAAGCTTCTAATCATGGCTTAGTCTTTCTGGTGACCAGCCCCCATCCAAGAACCAGAGAGGAGCTGACCCAGTTATCTCATTAGAACAAAAGATCCATTTAGTGCTCTTATCACTTAGGAATTTATAGGAGTTTTAGGAGCCCTGTGTCAGGAATGGAGTCAAAGGCAAAAAACAGAGATACTCCAAAGTGCTCATTACTTAGGAAATTATAAGAGTTTTAGGGGCTCTGTGTCAAGAACCAGGGGTAGTGACCTATATATATTTTTCTGTTATCTCACAGTATATATAATCAGGGATAGGAAGTATGAGTGGTGTGTGTGTGTGTGTGTGTGTGTGTGTGTGTGTGTGTGTGTTGTGTGTAAGCTGCAATTCTAGATAGGGTGATCAAGGAAGACCTCACTAACTGGGTGACATATAAGTGAAGAACTAGAGGAAGTGAAAGAGTGAGCCACAAGGATATTCAAGAGAAAAGAACTCTGGGCACAGAAATCCACAGTGCACTGGCCCTGAAGTGGCAGTGTGCCTGTCTTACTACAAAGAGACGAGCAATGTGGCCAGGGTGAGGCAAACAAGAAAAAAAGGATCAGGTAGGTCAAAAGTTCAAGATGGGCTCAAGATGGGAGCAGGCAGGTGAACACATTATATAGGTCATTTGCAAGGTCATTTGCAAGGACTTTGACTTTTACTCTGAGGTAGATGACAAGCTATGGAGTACTCTGAGCAGAGATGTGACTTAATCTGACTTAGCTTTTCATTCTGGTTCCTGGGTGAGAATATACCACAGGGATTCAAGGGTAAACGATAGGAGACCATTTGGGAACCTTAGAAAGGCAATTACATCAGCACAAAATTTATATGACTAATTTTAGAGAATAAATCAATTTATGTTCCTTACATATCTATAACGTTTTGTTCCCATTTATCTCATCCCCTGTTTTTTTCTGGGAACCGTTCTTTAACACTTTTATCAGCTATAATACCTTATGTAGGCCGTGGTTTCAGCACTTAAATAATGCATTATTATGATTCAAATGCCCATTTATGAACTAGATTGTAAGGTACTGTCTCATTCTTCTATATCTCCAATATAGTGCCAAGTTCATAGTGGGTATCTGATAAACATTTATTGAATAGATTGTGAAAAATGATGATAATAGTGAATAATGCATGAATAGAAGTGTGTTGTATGTTTTCAATCTCAAAATTTTGGAGTACAGTAAATGCCTCCAGATTTAGCTCTTATAAATCTTCCTGGAATTTACTGTATTGAGAATAAATCCAGGATCAAAGTTCTGGGAACAGTGCTGAGATTGGATCGCTGATTTTTTTCATTTTATGGCAACAGAGCTTCAAGCACCCCCCTCCTGAGATGAAATGTGACTTGTTAATATTAGGACTAGACGGAAGAGCATCCACCTACATCTACAATGTTTGGAATCCATTGTAATCCCTTCTTTTATTTAGTCTGGGTAGGTCAGTAAGAGGATTTATGGACACCACATTAATGTTTGCAAAGACTTTTTTTAGTCCAAAGGCATCAGCAGGTGTTTTATATAAAGAACACTTGGAATTTGGACCAGTTAATTTGAATACTATCACTAATTAGCCATGTGGCTTTGAGCAAGCCCTTCAACTACTTAGAATCTATTTCCTCACCTGTAAAAGTGGGTGTTTGTTAGTGTAGGGCAGTGGTCGGCAAACCGTGGCTCTCGAGCCACACGCGGCTCTTTGGCCCCGTGGCATGGGCCACGAAGTTTCAATCGCACTGTACGTGCGCGCCCGCACGTGGTATTTTGTGGAAGAGCCACACTCAAGGGGCCAGTTAGCCGACCACTGGTGTAGGGTATCACTGAGTTCATTTCTATGTCTGAAATTCTATAGGTCTTCAAATGCCTAGGAACCAGTTTAAGAAATTATCATCTTAAAAGTTTCATGTCTTGGTTTTATTTTTTCAGGGGCTTCTTCTTCTGACTCAGAAGGGGACCCTAACAAGGAAGAGATGAATCGGTAATTCTAATTTTGCTTAAGTCTTGCCTAGATTAATTTTAATATTCCCAGTATTTTACTGTTATTTAATTATTGCTTTTAATTAAGTTATTTAAATATAGGTTTTCTTGTTTAAGAGCAGTTAAAAGAGGGAAATTATACAGGAGGAATAAACATACTCTTTCCACATAGGAGGTTTTCCAATAACCATGCAACCCATCTGCATCAGTAGCTTTGCTAGTGGGTTTTTTAAAAGTTCCCTTTAGAGTTAAAAATGGGCTCTCCTAAATTTTCTCAGTAAATGTGCAATTATTTGTGCAAAATAAAAAGACCATTTCCAGCACATTAGTGAAAAGTAATTGTGAATTCAAGCTTCCCAATCTTTTTTAAAATATATTTTTATTGATTTCAGAGAGAAAGGGAGAGGGAGAGATAGAAATATCAATCATGAGAATCATTGATTGGCTGCCTCCTGCACACCCCCTACTGGGGATGGAGCCCACAACCTGGCCATATGCCCTGACCAGAGATTGAACTGTGACCTCCTGGTTCATAGGTCAATACTCAACCACTGACCCACACTGGCCAGGCAAGCTTCCCACTATTTTAAAAATGAGATATCACCAATGAAGTATCATCATACCTATATATACAGAGTGAAAAACACACATCCAGTGATTCAAAAAACTTTATGTTTTCTGACTAAATAATAATACTTACAAGAACACAAAACCTGGTGATCCTAAATTATTTATGCGAATGATCTGGGCAAGTGACTTTTTTGCTGAACAATTGTTATGAGTACTGAACAAAGTTACATCTATCTATTCATTACTTTCCACAGCCATTGACTAAGCACCTACTCTACACCAGACCCTTCATTAGATGCAATGGGTACTAAGAAAAATCAGATACTTCCTGCTGATAGTCTAGCAGGAATGTAATATATAGCAATGAAATATATAGCAAATATAGCAAAAGGTATATACCAAGCATATAGACAGTAAGAGTAATAAAGTGTAATAAACGGTGATATAATTATGTACAAGGTGTAAAAGACTTGGCACAAAGGGCTCTATTGGTTGAGGAGGGAAAGAGAGATCAGGAAGGGAGACACAGAATTGGTGACCTTCAGCTCAGGCCTAAAAGAACAGTAGGTAGACACCCCCAAATAAGAAAGGAAAGGGCGTTTCAGGCGGAGGAGGCTGTGGAGAGAAGACCTGGGAACTGGAAACAGACAGAGAGCCATTCCTTGAGACTACCTGAAACAAGTGGCAGTATTTGGAAGACTGGTTAAAGAGCTGTTAACTGTGTTTGCGCATTCTGTCCTCCCCTACAGGGGGTAATTACTCCATTACTCCTTAAGGGCAGAGATCATGTCTTACTCTTCAAAATCCTTTGTGTGCCTACCTTGAAACGATAACTTGCCTTTAGCTTTTGTGCAGATATGAAAATTCATAGCCAGAGTAAATGATTTCTCCCTTTAACTCTCTTCCTTATTCTCATGGCTTCAGTTCAGTTCCTCCTTTGTTCCTGCCTCTTTATGCCAGTCACCGCCTTATAGGTGTTTCAGCCTTTTTCTCTTTTATAGTTTCCAAATACCACCAGTTACTTTCTAAAAGATCATTCTGATCCTGTTATTTTTCTGACTTAAAAAATTATCTATGGGAAAATAAAACACAAAACAAACAATAACATTTTTTAAAAATCTTAGCATGGCATACAAAGCCTTATTCAGTAGAGTATCAACCAGCCTTTCCTACCCTCTCCTCCTCCACTCCCCGACCTCAAGCTCTCTAGACTGCTGCCATCTCACTCAATGTATGTTTCATTTCACCTCTTTCTTCAAGCTGTTCACTTTGTTAGGAATGCCCTATCTCCTCTGCCTGGCCTTCAAAACCTGGTCAAGTTCTAAAATAAACTTCTCCTCTATCGCACATTTATCACTCCCTCCTCAGGGCTCTCATGACATAGTTACAAGCCTAATGGGTGTGAATTTTGATATATACACTTAATAAGTAAGAAATAACTTATTTGTTTATTTTCTTTCCATCTACTTGTAATAGTTAGGGTTTAGCTTCAGTTATGTGTAATAAAGACTCAAAATAATAACTTAAATAAGACGTTTATTTCTCACTTATATAAAAATATGGATTTAGCTAGTAAAACAGCTCCACCTTCCCCTGCGTTCCAATCTACTTCCAGCTTCCTGCTTCATCTCATTCTATGGTATAGCCTCATCTTCTTAGTCTAAAATTGGAAGAAATAAGGGCATGTTCTGTCCCCTTTTTAAGGTCATTTCTCTTAAATCACAGACATCACTATCCCTCATATCCCATGACCAGAAAGTAGTCATGTGGCCACACCTACCTTCAATGAAGTTTGGGAGATACCGTGTTTATCTGGAGTAGCCATGTAAAGAAATGAGGGGTTCTATTACTATAGAAGAAAAAGATGGATGCTTCAGGGACACTGATAGCCTCTGTATGACCACATAATTCTGCTTCTGAGACCCCAACTTGCCTGGTTAGGAAAATATTTAATCACCCATTATTGGATGTCCCCTTCCTCCTCCATGACTGTGGTAAGCTCCTTGGGATATGTATGTATTTAATATTTGATGTTAAACACTGCTCTATACATCTTACATGAATTATCTTATTGATAACCCTCACAAAAATTCTATGAGGTAAAAATTATTATTTCCCCATTTTAGAGATGAGGAAACTGAGACAGACAGAGGTAACATCTAAACAAAAGGGAAGCCCATTCTGTCATCAGTCATCTACCCTCTCCCCCCAGGTTATTAGGGAGAGGTCCATGTCCCAGACCTCAAAGCCCCTTCAAGTCCAGTCCTTTGTTGCTTTCTGATATGCTTGGGTGCTGATATCTTTAGCAAGAGTGGGACTCTTTAATCATAAGGGTTACATCCCCTCTGGACTCTGGTTCTCCCTCTTATCAGGTTCTCTGGCAAGATCCACAAAACTAAAATAATCTCCCCTCTGTAGCCTCTTTGAGAATATTTCTTGGCTCTGTTGCCCTTCAAATAATCCCTTTAATTTGTATAACTTGAAGAGCTCATTGACTCAGGCTGTTTCTGCTTTCTGCCATGCCCAAATCCCAGAAGCAAAGATTTACAAAGCCTGGCCTTTTACTTGAAATGGATGGGGGAGGGAAAATACAGAGGGCAAAACAAATCTCAAAAAATTATCTTCTGCACATGCTCCATCATAGCACTCGTCTGGATTCTCAGTTGTGAATATGCACAAGTCCCCAGCTTGACTGAGAGCAGCTAACACAAGGACAGGAATGATATCTTGTCATCTTCCTGTTTACATGTAATAAAGTGTGTAGCAAAGAAGCCCTCAGTAATGGCTTGTGGAATATTGTTGACCAAAGACTTGTATTATGTCTAACTATAAGCAGGGATAAGTTACTAACTTTGCCGAAATAATTTTCACAAGCAATGATAAGTCTGTTTTTATAAAAGTTTTAATCATTTCTCAGAATCCAGAAGCCAAAAGAGGTGTCACCCCCTCCCACTACTTCTGCAGCCATTCCTTCAGCAGTACCCCAAGCCCAGCATGTGGTGGCCCGGCCGAGTGTATCAACCATCCAACAGGTACAAAAGTCTAAGGGAAACACAAGTGCCATAGTCTGTGACAGGCAGGCACTGTGACCATGACCATCTTGTATGGCATGATCATGTTCTCTGTTGCACCTTCATAATGACCTTGGGCAATTCATTTCCATGATCATGATAATCTGTACTTTTAATGTAGGATATCAGTGGGTCCTATTGCTTTGGAAACACACTCTCTAGCTCATGGGCAATTTCATAGAAACCCTTTATAAATTAGTCCCTAATATTCCAGCGTTATTGGCATTAGAGTATTGATTACACACAATGACCCAGGACATTCAGAATTCTACTTTCTATGGGAGCAACCATGAAATGTATTTTTTTAATACATTAAAGACTCTCATCCTTCAAGATGATGGTGATGATGATGATAATGATGATACTTATACATGCTTAGTGTGAAAACATTGGAAAAATAGAGAAGTATACTAAGTAAAAGCTTTAGTTAAGGTTCTACTCCCCTATCCCCACTCCTCAGAGGTACCTTCCTTTAATAGTTTCTAGCAGATGGTTTCATACATTTTCTAGGCATATATATGAAAATATATGTATGCATATACTTCTAAAATATAAAATCATACTATTCTAAATATATTTGTAACATGTTATTGATATATTTATTGACTTAAAACCATTTAAAGATTTAAACAGTTGCTTATCTAAGCCATTGAGTAATGCACAGGGGTCACATTTTAGTTCTAATCCAGTAGTTTTTCAAATTATGATCTGTGGAGGCTCAGAAATTCTATGGAAGCTCTTCAGGGACTCAGGGTTAATTACACATGTGAGGCAGTCACCATGATCTAGAAAGAAAAACAATCAGTTCAGTATAAAATTTGAAGTTTGTAATTCATAGATTTAGAAAATGTCAATCTTTTGGTTTTAGATTAATTTCACACACTAAATTCTGTAAATGTGTTATATCTATCTATCTATCTATCTATATTGATCTATCTATCTGATAATGCTAGTGACAATAAATCTATTGTTCATTCCCTTCTAACAGTGTCAGAGCCCTACTAACTATTTGCAAGGATTGGATGGAAAACCTATCATTGCAGCTCCGGTGTTTACAAAGGTAATCAAAATATTATTTCTTTCTGTCATGACTTTAAATAATACTGTAATACCCAAACAAAGTTGTAGGATCCAATATTTACTGATTTTATCTCAGGACTTTGGTCTGTTATAAGTACAGTATAGGATTTGGGATTTTTAGTATTTGTTACCATGTCATTCAAGTCTCAGATTTCTAATAACAATTTGTGTAATGAAAGATATGTCTTCTCCATTCACCACATTGATCTCTATGGCATCCTATTGCTGTTAAACACAATAGCCACACCTAGGGGTCAGGTGATAAGTTTCTAGCCACTTATATGCCAAAGGTTTCCTTGGAAGGGCTTTCAAAAGAATTGAATTGCACCAAAAGAGTGTCGTTGGCACTCAAGAGATGGAGTAGATGTTCTTAGGAGACTCAACATAAAACCTCACTCTAAGATAAAGAGTCCTATTTTTCTATTGCTTGGTACCAACTATTGTGGTGGCATTAATTCTGAGTCTCATAATCTTTGTATTAGAACTGGAAATTTTACTTAAGCACTTTCATTTACAAATGAAAAAAAAATAAGGGCGGGTCAGAGAGATTAAGCAATTTATCCAAAGTCACAGAATTAGTTAGTGTCAGATTTAGGACTAGAAACATGTTCTTCCAATTCTCACTCAATTGTTTTTTCCCTTAGATAGCATTGACTTTGTTTATATGTTTTATAAGGCAATAGTTCAAAGGTAAAAAATTGAGTGACATTGGATTTTTATTTGGTATTATGAAGACTACATGGATGGAATCTATGCCTGGATTTATAATTTATTGTTTTTATCAATGCTAACTTAGGCCCAAAGAGATTTTGTCCTCTCAGAAGTATGCTTTAGTTTGGAGAAATGGTTCTCAGTCAGGGTTAATTTCACGCCCCGCCCTCCTCCAGTGGACATTTGGCAATGGCTGGAGACATTTTTTAGTTGTCGCATCTGGGACATTGTGTTGCTGGCATCCAGAGATGCTGCTGAACATCCTGCAGTGGATAGAAAGACAGCCTCCACAACAAAGACTTACCCAGACCAAACTGCCAGTAGTCCTGGGACTGAGACATCATGATTTAGAGCAAAATGGCAAAAACTGTGTCTTTTCCAATGAGTACTGACCTTAAAGAAAGAGCTAAATCCACAACTTCCACAGACATCACTTTTAGGGAGATGCCACCATATCAGCTCATCCAAGATGGCTTTCCAAAATCAACCGAAGTTTAGACTGAGACATGCTTATCCACGTCCATATCAGTTGAGTCAACATTCATATGGGAAACAAGATGCCTCTTGATTTTTCAGATTCACTTCTTGTAACCTGCTTTTGATGTTTCAGCATTGCTATTTTCAAAGACGTGACGTGGGAAAGCAACATGCTGTGACTTGGCAAATAGGAGACTTTGATGATGAGTTATAAATGGACGTCTGTGTGTGTATGTGTGTGTGTGTGTGTGTGTGTGTGTGTGTGTGTGTGTGTGTGATATAGCTAATAGAGCTATCTGTAATCGTCTCTTATTTCACAGCTAAGTCACTTAGCCTTAAAACATAGCTTAAGTGCCCCAGAAATCAGGACACGTTGTCACACCCTAGAGACAGTGCTGACTCTTCAAAAGCAACTAAATCACAGAATAATATGTACCTGGTCCCAACTGAAATCTCCTTCTCTTTTCCTTACTACCAAGTGCCCAGCCAGAGAACTGAGAGGTGTCCTTATCTCCTTTTAAATCTTCCTAAGTGCTCTGTCTTCCCTGCATCTGGTGCAGACCCCTGGTACAACATTCAGCACAATAAGGAAACTATTTACTTTTCTGTCCCTCCCAAGCACTTTGAAGCCTATCTCTAATACCTACATAGGAGTCCATAAAGGTAATAATAGGTCCAAAGTCATTTTTAAAAAATATATTTTATTGATTTTTCACAGAGAGTAAGGGAGAGGGACAGAGAGCTAGAGACATCGATGAGAGAGAAACATCGACCAGCTGCCTCATGCACACTCCCCACTGAGGATGTGCCCGAAACCAAGGTACATGCCCTTGACCGGAATCGAACCTGGGACCCTTCAGTCCGCAGGCCGATGCTCTATCCACTGAGCCAAACCGGTTAGGGCCAAAGTCATTTTTATTATTCCAAAAAGTACAGTAGGACTTCAACACTTATTCTTTACATTTCATTTTCATGGACCGGTTAGAGTAACAGGTTTAGCTGCCTTTGTGTGGTGACTCTGATGAACTTCTAATTAGATGCTCTGTTTGGCTGATACATATATGCCTTTGATAAATTAAAATGGGAAAATGAGTAATCATTACTATATGTTGTTCGTTAGATAAATCTCCAAAAACATTAGATCCACGGTGGGAAAACAGCCCTTAATACAAAGACCCAAACTCTGATAAGGCTTTCTCAGCCCTCAGATGTATGCTTTTGCCTCCATAAATGGACCAGGATTGTTCAGACGTAGGGCACAGGGATAGGCTGTGACTCAGATTCCAGAGGGACTTATCAGCGGCAGCGTGCTTACGTTAGTTTCCATCAGTACAGGCAGGATTGAGGTCATAGTCACTGCCAGTGTCATTAGAAAATGTCTGAGTCAGAGGCACTGGCGATGGTAATCACGTGGCATGAGCCCTGATAACTGATCATTTTGCATGTGTTTATTTGGGTTATTCCTGCTCTATGCACTTCATTAGGAACGTCTGGCATTTCAACCCCCATGACTCACTTTCTATACTGCCCAACAAAGCATTTCTTTGCCAATACAGTAATGGCAAGAAGCCAACTTTTTAAAAAGCACCAGAGAGCAGAGTTTCATTTAACTCCTTGTGCCTTCTTTGGTGATAGGGAATTACTGGTTTTATCTTCTTTTTAAAGAAGGTTAAAATGAAAAGGAGGGCTGCCCAACAAAACAGTGGCAGAGTTTGAGAGAAGACAGGGGTTCTCTGTGTTAGTTCATTGCTCTGATTATAGGTGATACCTATGTTTTAAAATATTTTGTGGCGATAGACTATCCTTCATTCTCTCTGCAGTATCAAAAAACACTTTCACTCTATTTATGGGGAGAAACCGTGCTCACACTTCTTGAGTGTGAAGGGGGGTAGACGATCAGATTAGAATCTTACTCCTATCGCTGCTCCCTCTCCAACAGCAGCTGCTTGGCGGACTTTCAAGGCTGCAGCAGCCCTGGCTCCAGCTGCTTCAGCAGTCATTTGGAAAGTGAAGGGGGCAGGGGAAGTGAGAATTTGAAGAAGAGTGCTTCATTATATAATATCAGAGGCAGGAAACCCTGAAATAACTGGACTGGTGACAGGATCCAGATTTCTGAAGATTACACGGGCCCCTCTCCCCAACCTGACATTCCAGAGGCTTTTCTGACTCAGCTGTTACAGGGCACCTCTGACAAGCAAGGGGCAAAAGAGTCTTCAGTCAAACAGTTTGTTATCAGTGAAAACCGCTCCGATCCAATTCCAGCCTAAAGCACTAAAAAGATTCATTTGCAGCATCTTCCAAGGTGCAAAATATCAGCTGGATTAAAAAGGGAAGAAAGTGACAATGTGACCCTTGTAGCTGACATCTTGTAACCCATAAGGAAGACGCCCTTTCTCAAGATGTCCCTGCATTGTATTTATAGGATGGTGTCCCTTCAACTCACGTTGACAGCACATGGCACAGTGCTCGGCACAAAGCAGGCACATAGTAATCTTTCTTCTGTGGCGAATAACTTCCATTTCAGCTAAGAAGGAACCATTGCTTTCATCGCTTTGTGGCATCTGAGTGTCTTTAGGGGGAATAGAGAAAAAAAATCCAATATCAAATGGCCATGGAAGACATGCTTCTCAAGTCTCTGGGTGTAGTCAAGTTACCCTGCAAAGAATGTCTTCCCAGATGATCAGTATGGTGATGACACACAAGACAGACTTGCACTTTGGATACCGTTCACCTCAAGAAGTTAAAGACATTGGTTATAGTGACTTTAGTCCAATCCAGTGGTTCCCAAACTTATTTGGCCTACCACCCCCTTTCCAGAAAAAATATTACTCAGCGCCCCCTGGAAATTAATTTTTTTTAAATTTTAATAGCAATTAAACAGAAAGATATATGTATTAATGTTTCTACCTTTTTCGTAAAATATAGTAAAGAAAGGTGTAAATTAGAAACATTGAAGTTTGAAATTATGAAACTATTTATTGAACTCAGAATTGAAAGGTAATACAAAAAAAGTTGAAACAAATGCACCTGTGGCCATCACCGCCCCCCTGGATCGCTGCAGCGCCCACCAGGGGGCGGTAGCGCCCACTTTGGGAATCACTGGTCCAATCCATAATTCCTAGTTAAGACTAACTTAACCTTTGCTAGGTGGGGAGCGTTTCATTCGCCTTATTCGTCATCAGTGAAATCTAGATGATTATGATCATGTCTGTACACAGTGAACACACTGTGCCATTAGTAACAGCCCAAGACCTACTACTTACTGTGTTGAACATGGCACCATCTGCACTATGTTCAAATGGTGCAACTGTTTCGGACCCTGATGTGCAGTGATGTGTGCCAGTACCTTCCCATGAGACTTTTGTAGAAAACCAGTTTTCAGCAGTAACAGCTATCATTGTCCTTCAAACTAAGACTTCCAGTCATTTTTTCTAAGTGGTTTGTAAGATGACCCTTGGCACTTCCTTTACTGAGTATCGATGACATGTCACACTGGAATGAGCTTCCATCTTATATCACGGACATTTAGTGGGCATGTTCCATACACTGTAGTATCTCAGGTATCTTGGCTGGACTCTGATATAGAACACAGGTCTTGGTTGTCAATGTCTAGTGAATAATAACAATAATGTTGGTCTCAGTTGTAAACAACATATTCTCTCAAGGAAGTCCTTTTGCAAACAGGGCTTTGGTGTAACCTCTGCAGATTGAGAAGTGGCTTATATATCTGAACTGAACTGCAAGCTCTGTCAAAACATGTAGATTGACCTCATTCTGCTTATATCTATTTTTTAAATGTGCCATACTTTATTTATTTAATCTCTTCTGCCATCACCACCTTTTTTGTTGTTGTTTGTTTTTTTAATTTGTTTGCCTCAAGAAGGAATGAAACTCCATTATATATGAATCCCAGGGAGATGTCTGACTGCAATTAAAGTGTTCAATAGGCCCCAACGCTTCTGTTTAAATACAAAATTTGCTCAAATGTCAGGGTGGAGGGCACATTCACCAGCTTGCCAGGAGCACTCAAGAATCGTTGATGTTCCCTGCTTGCTTAGAGCATTCCATTCTTGTCACCAGAGGATGTTGTTTAGGGTAGACAAGGAATAACAAGATTTTTAATCAAATAGTTCCTTATTAATTCAGAAACTACTCTATGCAAATCCCATCCAGAATTATTTCAGCAAACAAATTTGGAAATGCAAAGAACAAAGCACTAACTTTGAACTACATCGCCCCCTGGCTGTCCCAATATTAACTTACACACCCCTATGAGAGAAAAGTTTCCTACTGTAGCTGAAGCCAGGTGGTTATTCTCACCCCTGTATTCCTTAAACAAATGCCATAAATATGATATGGCCATGCACAACATATCATAAATTATTCAGACAAGAGCTGTAAACAATCACAAAATATTTATAAGAGTGAATGACAAAAGCAAAAAAGAAACAAACAAACAAAGACTATCCATCCTGTTCCAGCTGGTTTGGCTCAGTGGATAGAATGTCGGCCGGCCTGCCGACTGAAGGGTCCCGGGTTTGATTCCGGTCAAGGGAACATGCCCAGGTTGAGTGCTCAATCCCCAGTAGGAGGCATGCAGGAGGCAGCCGATCAATGATTCTCTCTCATCATTGATGTTTCTATCTCTCTCTTCCTCTCCCTTCCTCTCTGAAATCAATAAAAATATTTTTTTAAAAAAATAGCTTCCCCTTCTCTGAAGCAAGAGCCAATATTTCCTAGTTGCAGATGAAAAAATTGTAATAATAGAAAGGCTTGCAGCATTTGTTACTAAAAAGAGCTTGTGGAGGAAGTTAATCATAACCTTTCTATGTTTATAATCCTTGGGCCAAAATTAAAAAGAAAAATATGCTCACACACATGCCAAAGAAACATTTCATAATTAAATGAAACACCTACTACATAAGTGAATGTGTGACTTTAAATTCACAAATCTTGTTGAGTGGAAGACTAGATGTGAAAGGAAAATGTGAGTTCCATTCTCCCATAGAGTCTATTATGGAATATACTGATATTTTACAGTTCAAAGTGGTTTTTGTAAACCTTTTTTTATGGAAGAGTGGAAAAACATTTAATGACACCTTCACAAAATTATAAGATATTTACCATGACCTAAGACTACACATATGACTATTATTTCATAGAGATTGCCAGAGTTTATATCCCTGCATAGATGCTGAAGGTAGACTATAAAGAACACATAAAGAAAACAAAATAGCAAAACAAAAGTCAATTTCCAGGACAACAGAATGTAAATAAGGCAAAGCCAGGAAAACAGTTAGTTAATTTGACTGGACCACAGAGATGTTACACCTTGTGGACAGTGATATTCTTCTGTGAAAAAAAAAATACAATACTCTTATGCCGAGTACACCTAGTAAATACTCACTGCAGATTTTTTAAATTGTTATTATTTCTGAAAACTAAACTCCACTTGGGTATTTAAGAACAGAAGTACTTTACCAAAAAATTAGTATTTTTGGAACCTTCAAAATGTTTTGTCTAATATTTAATAAACTTGTCTGGCCTTGCAACAGAGAGGAAAAGAAAGAAGAGAGTGCACCTTCATTCAAACCTTTATTCAAAGATAAACTAAATTGGAGCTGCTGGAGATGTAGAAGATTTGGAGAAAATCCAAATACAGAGGCAATTGCATCTTTTCTAAAAATTCAGCACTGGAACTAGATTTCAAAAAATGTACACTTTTGGGTTCTAATAATGTTCTTCTCATTATAGATGTTACAAAATTTATCAGCCTCGGAGGGTCAGCTGGTCGTCTTTGAATGCAGAGTGAAAGGAGCTCCATCTCCTAAAGTTGAGTGGTACAGAGAAGGGACCTTGATAGAAGATTCCCCAGATTTTAGAATCTTACAGAAAAGTAAGTTGTTGCTTCAAAATTATTTTTCTGATAATTAATTTTTATAGATGTATTGTAGGCATTTATTTTTATAATTTTTCACAACTAATTTAAATATAATAAAAATATTCTAAAAATCACTTGTAATCATTACCCCTCAATCTAAACCCAATTATTAGTATTTTGGCATATAGTCTCCAACATTTTTCCCACGAATATTTTTTTTATAAATCTTTATTGTTGAAAGTATTACATATGTCCCTTCCCCCCGCCCATTGCCCTCTCCAACCTCCCTCTGCCCCAAGCCTTCACCACCCTATTGTCTGTGTCTACCCATGAATATTTTTTAATAAAACTAAATCATATTCTTTTTTATGGTGTCAGATAGGTACTAGACTTATTGGGGTGAGTACTTCGTAGTTATATAAATGTCTAATCACTGAGTTGTACACCTGAAGCTAATGTAATCATACTCTTTTTTGTAAATTAATATTTTTCACTCAACATTTCAGGAACATCTTTCCATGTTAATAAATAGAGGCCTTTCTTACTTTAAAAATATAGATCAATACCATAAATTTCATATTTATTTAATTTTCTATTGTTGAACATTTAGATTCTTCACAAATTTTTACTATTATAAACTGTGCTTCAATGCATGTTAACAGGAAAATCTTTGTGAATATAAAATAAATTAAAGTACTAGAATTACTACTGTAAATTCACATTTTTTTAGACTTTTAATATGTAGGGGTGGGCAAAGTAGCTTAACAGTTGTGAGTGCATGCAACACAGAATTAATAAAGCTATTGTAATAATCATAACCTGCGTGTCTTTTTCCATATGAACAACTGTAAACCTGCTTTTGCCTACCCCTGTATATTGCCAAAATGTCATCCCCAAAGGTTGAAACTAAGGATGATCACATAATTTATCATTCAATCTGGGACACTTTGGGGTGTGAAAGAGGGTACTATTAATAATTACACAGAGATCCCAGGAATAAACCAGGTTTGTCCCAGCTGAATTGGGACACATGTGGTCCTATATTTTACTACAACTTTCATGAACAATGGGGATTAAGTAATTTTTATCTTCACTAATTTTATAGGCCCCAAATGGAAACACTTCTTTTGATCCTCACTTCACTAATTAGATGTGAGGTGGAACTATTTTTCATATTTATTTGGTCTTTGTATTTCATTGTTTTTAAATTACCTGTTCATATCCTTTGCTCATTTTTTATATTAAGTTTTTATTTTTTATTGTAAGAGTTATTTATATATTCAAGTGGTTAATTATTCTTTTCTTGTCACATAAGTGCTTTCACCTTGACCTATTTCAGCATTAAATACATTGAAATTTATTTGCTTTTTTGTTAATTTGTTTCTGTCGATCACAAAATAGTAGTACGTGGATCAGTATGATATATGAATCAAAGTACTATCAAGTTTAACAGCAGTAGCAGCAACAATAATATATTTGAAATACCATTGAAACTGAGAAAAATACTTCAATATTCTATCAGTGTAGAAGATCGTAACAAAGGTCAACAGCTACTCACTGAGTGCCTGCAATTTGATAAACACTAATTGAACACCTGTATGCAGTACCCAGCAGGCACTTTCAAGAATGATAAAGAATTTTAAGGTTAAGGACCAGCTCTCAAGGAACCTGTCACCCATCCTGGGCTCTTAATATTTGAAACCTTAGAGGATTCCTGAATCCCAGCTAGTAACTTTTCCGCCTCACCTACGTAGAACCCAGATGTGTCTCGAGATACAGCAACATCATTTAGTTAGCAGCTTTCTTGCTGCCTTCTGTGACAACCATCTTGTCCCTGTGGAGGTCATTGGTGCTTAGCTCCTTTTACTTAAAATTATAGCTTAACCTTAAAAAAATCACTCATGAGTATGCAAGTGACTATGAAATTCTATAGGAAGCTTCTGATGAAAATATAGCCTCTCAGTGATATAAATGCTAAGTGTCTTTTAATTTATTTTCTTCTAGAACCTCGATCCATGGCAGAGCCAGGTAAAGAACATTTTAACTTTAATTTATTAGTGTGTGATCAGTGGTTTGATATATATAACAAAACATATTGAAATTACACTGGGGTCAAGAAAAAGTGAAAAATAAAGTTTTAGAGAAAAGATCCAAACCAACTCTAGCTATTACTGTAGAAGAATGAAAGAAGGGGGAGCATGTGCAAATTTGGAATATGTACTCAATCCCTAATATGAATGCAGTTAGTTCGTGGTATTGAGGATTTTTTCTTAGGAATATCTTCCCTCTTCCCTTGGCCCCTCCTCGGGACCTCTCAAAACTGGGCAGAGCAATTTCTATAATGCTAGACTAAGTCCAATTTTACAGCCTATATTTCTGAAAACTTATGCATCAAATGTTGAAATTTGAAGAATCAATAAAATGTCTGTGATGGTATTAGATTTGATTGGAAGGATACTAAGATGATATGAAAGTGACAAGTAGGTGAAGCTCTTACCTCCAAAAAATACAAGTCACTCACAATCCAAGCATAAACATCTGGATGTCCTCCTTGTGATCACCGTGAAATATCCCATTGTCTTTTTACCCTCAGGTAAGAATGATGGCTTGGAATTTATAACTCTCCTCAGAAAACTGAATGGGAAGGCATTCCAGAAGTAGATGTTGAACATCCATGTTGCATAGCTCTTCACTTTGGGGATACATAATAAAGACCAGAGGGTCCTTATTCTTACATTCTTCTAGTAGAAGAATGTATTTTTCCCCCCTTGAAAATATTTCAGGCTTTTAATACATTCATCCAAAGCAGGCGTTTTCACTAGGCAGTCTCATATACAAAATACTTTCAGAGTCTCTCTAAAGATGTCCCTGCCCAAAACAAATCCTGCCTTTCCCAGCTCCATGATCTAAAATCCCACAGCCCGAGGTATTCCTTCCACCTTGTATAATGTAAGTACCCTTTGGAGACAGAATGCTTTATCTTATCAGGTAGGTAGAGCGTAGTGTGAATGAATTTATCAGATCATTTTCTGAGAGCAGGTTCTGAAAAAGGGAAGCACGAATGTTTGGAAAGGGGAACATAAAGAAGGAAGCTTAGGCCAAGGGCTCAGAAAAACGACAGAGAGGCACCAAAAGCAAACTTTGGGCAGCAAGTAAAGAAGACCTAACTAAAAGTGGCTTAAGCAATAAGGAAAAATGTATTTTCTCCCTAAGAAGTAGCAGTCTTGAGATTGGTTAATTTAGCATCTCAGAGATCATCAGGGGCCAACCTTTCCCCCCCCCCCCCCATTTTCCATTCTGCCATCTTCAGAGTATCTTCTTAGACACTCATATGCCCAAGACAGTTGCCATAGTTATGGATATTATATGCAGCTGACAATATTCAGAGACAAAAATATGGAATAACACTTTCTTTTGTCCTGTGTAAAGAACAAGAAAATCTCTCCCAGAAATTCCCTAATATCTCATTGACCAGAATTGTGTGTCATATGGCATCACTTATCAAGAATAGAGTTAGCAGGATTGGCTTAGCACGACCAGTCTCCATTCACCAGCTGAGGCTGGGCAAGGCCAACTTGACTTGAAGCACATGAACACTCCAAGGAGGGCGAACAGTTAGGGTTCAGTTAATAAGGAGGGAAGAGAATGTAGTTACTGAGCAGGTGCTCAATACTGTCTGCCCTGGCTTCCTGTCCAGCCTTCCTAGCGGTTGTCCAGCTAATTGAATTCAGTTATCATGAAACACTGAGATGCCAAGTGTCTTCAAATGCAACTATGCTTTTATTAATTTTGTTTTTAATGTCAGGTCTACTGGGTGATAACTGGAGGTTTAGGCTACTGTCTTAGTTATCTCTTCATTAGCTGTCAAGAAATATCTAACTACAATAATTTTAGGCTTTAAGCATATGGTTCTACCTGGGAATCACTTCTGTAGTTATTCAAAAGAGGGCTCATGCTGTGTATTGAAGTAATCCAACAGATTGCCATAGTATTACAAAGGAAAAAATGCATTTATCTTGTTTTTCACCCAGAATTTCAAATATTTAACTAAGCAAAATATTTATTGTCCAGTTTTAAATTGTGGCCTTCCTTTAAAATTACCTAACTGCAAAAGTTCCCCACATAAATAGTGAGAAATCTGGGTTTAAAAAATGTTTTATTAATCCTTTTATTTCATACAAACCTCCTTTTGCCTTAACTCCTAAGTTGTTTTTGTGATTTTTAAAAAAGTTTATTGTTCCTCAGTTCTATTTTTGTCATGTGAACTGGTGACATAAATATAGAAGACAATTTGAGAATCCATAATATATAATATATTATCATAATATTCTCTTGCCAATTGTCTGCATGGAGTTATTTGTTCTATGTGCTTCCATTAGCCTCCTAATCAGTCCATTCAATCCAATAATTGTTTGGACTAATTATTTCCAAACAACTAATGCAGTCAACTTCTTACATTGACTTTTATAGAAAAACCATCTGATAGTGAATTGCATAATTCCATTTTCATAATTACGTCAGTAACCATTCTGTTTTGCTGGCATTTAGAGGAGATTTGTACTCTGGTCATTGCTGAGGTATTTGCAGAAGACTCTGGGTGCTTCACATGTACTGCAAGCAACAAATACGGCACAGTGTCAAGCATCGCACAGCTGGATGTGAGAGGTAAGGGCTCTTTACATGTCAGGACAGTTTAGACCATGACTTGAAATATGAATATGGAGAGTTTATATTATCCTTCTTACTGCTTTTCTTACAAAGCTAACTTGGCTCTCCTCTTAAAAACTGAATTATTGCCCTAGCTGGTTTGGCTCAATGGGTAGAGCATTGGCCTGCAGACTGAAGGGTCCCGGGTTCAATTCCGGCCAAGGGCACATGCCTGGGTTGCAAGCTCAATCCCCAGTGGGGGGCATGCAGGAGGCAGCCAATCAATGATTCTCTCTCATCATTGATGTTTCTCTCTCCCCCCTCTTCTTTCCTCTCTAAAATCAATAAAATATATATTTTTTAAAAAATTGAATTATTGAGGAAAGTGTTCTTGAACAATATCCAATTTTCAATTTCTTATTGCATTTATAACCACCACTACCACCCCCAGTTGTCCTACTGTTATGTATTACACTCCTAAGAAAACATCTCCTTGGTTTTATATAAACTACTAATATCCTTTCCAAAACTGTACTTAGATTTCTAGTTCAGCTTTTCCCCTGTATCCTTGCCATTCTTTAATGCCCCAGATTATGTTCTCTGTTTTGACAACCTTTTCACCATTCGCATAATCATCTGGTTTGGACACATGCCCCAACTCGGAGTTACAATCCGATCTCAGTCTCATTGAGTAAGATAACAGCTGAGGTCCTATTACTGTTGTTTCAGGAAATGAAGACCTCAGAAATAATGGGTCTCTTCACTCAGCCAACTCCATCACCAACCTGGCTGTGATTGAGCAGCAGCCATCCCCACCCAACCCACAGCCTCCTTCTGTGGAACAACCCCCTAAACCCAAACTCGAAGGGGTTCTGGTGAACCACAACGAGCCCCGGTCCAGCTCAAGAATCGGGCTCCGCGTACACTTCAACCTTCCTGAAGATGACAAGGGAAGCGAAGCGTCTCCTGAGGGTGGCCCGGTGACTGCCAACCAGACCAGGCCTGATTCTTTCCTGGAGAGATTCAGTGTGCAGCCAGCAAAACTCCCGGAGCCTTCCTCACCTGTCAAAGAGCCCCCTCCAGTCCTGGCCAAACCCAAACTGTAAGTAAAAACCAGAATGGACAACCAAGTGCCTGAGAGCATCTCTGAGTCTTCCCTTCTTCAGAATTATGGAGCTGAAAGGGGAATTACAAAATGAGAAAATATGCTTTATTTTATTTTTAATATATTTTTATTGATTTCAGAAGGGAAGGGAGGGGGTGGAGAGAAACATCAATGATGAGAGAGAATTGATTGGCTGCCTCCTGCACGCCCCCTACTGGGGATGGAGCCCACAACCCGGTCATGTGCCCTTGACCAGACTCAAACCCGGGACCCTTCAGTCTGCAGGTCAACGCTCTATTCACTGAGCCAAACCAGCTAGGGCAGAAAATACGCTTTAAATGTTTTAAAAATAACACATCCTTACACCAATCTAAGTGTACTATCACTCTCATCCAGCTCTGTCAGAGACATGCTGCAATGTTTGATGTTCATCCATAGTAAAGCAAACACAGAACATGATACTACTGTTATGTTCTGTTTGATCCACACATCAAAATGATAAAAATTATGTTTGTAATTATATAAATCTTTAAATATCAACATTAAAATCTGCAGTATCAGCACTCCCATCATGTGTTTCTCAGTGATGGCCACATGATGTTCATTGCAAGTGGTTCCTTTTGTTTCATTTTATATTCTTCTCACTACCACATAAGGCAGATTGCAGGGCATAAAATGAAATGTTACGTAATATGCCTCTTAGCAAGTCACATCCAGAATTGTCGAAGTTCTGCTGGAATCGGAATCCACTTAAAAGAATAAGAGAGGAAGAGGATATTGTGGGGAGCTATGCAGGAACAGCCAGGCCTGGCACAGAGAAAGCGAACTGGGAGCTGGGATCACATGGTTAGTTCAGCCTCTGTCCGCTTCTCACCCTCTGACTTCTGGAGTGCCTCCTTGTTTCCTCTTTGCGTATCCACTCCACTATTATCTCTTTGAAGATTTATCGATTTATGGCTTGGCCCATCATGGTGTGTCCCATTCTCCATCACGATTTGTGTCAAGTTGCACTGCTAACTAAATCGTTCTCAACAGCTGGGTTCCAAATACCAACTGGTCAAGTGCAGAGGACTTGTGTTTGGAGGGAGGAAGCGTCTAATGGATCACAGAACTGTGGGGCCTGGGTGGGAGTTCTCAGGGAAGGGAGTTGTGGGAACAAGTAACCCATACAGTCTCCTTGAAGACTGCCTCCTATTACCCAGGACTGTTTGGGAGCTATTATGTATGTCAGATAGGATTAGATTTAGTTTCATGTTGCAGAAAACCCAAACTAATAGGGGGTTAAACACATGAGGGTTTATTGTTCTCTTAAATCAAGGAATCAGATAGGCTGCCTGTGGCTCTGTTAAGAACCCAGTCTCCTATCTTTCTGCTCTGCCATCTTTAGCACTGGCTACTTCTCTAGGTCCCCTCATGGTCCAGGTTGGTGGTGTAGTCATCATGTCTGCATTTCAAGCAGCAGGAAGAGCAAATGTGTGGGTCTTGATATCAAACTCTTTTTAAAACGTCTTCTTAGGGGAGCGGCCAGGGAGAGGTCAATGGGATGAAAAGGAGACTTATGTAATACTTTAAACAATAAAGAGAGAGACAGGGAGGGAGGGAGAGGGAGAGAGAGGCCTTCTTAGGTCTTACTCCAATCTTTTGGCCAGAACTTAATCACATGTTATACTAGCCACAAAGGAGGCTGGGAAATGTAGTCTTTAGATGGCACATATTGCCTCCAGGAATAAAAACGAGTACTTTTACAAAGTAGTCAGCCAGCAATATCTGCCACACGAGACTTTCAATGAATATAAAAATTCTTTCTACTAAGTTATGTAGTGACACCCTATAAAAATCCAGTTCTCAGCACTATATAATTCTTTAGTATTTTTTGCCTTTTTAAATTTTTCTCTTAGGTTTTTATTAGAATAGGTACATGTGCATGCTCACATACACACACGCACATCCTTGAATCCACATGAAGCTGTCATTTTTTTTTATTTTGTTTTATTGCTTAAAGTATTACAAAGAGTATTATATATGTCTCCTTTTTTCCCCCTTCTTGACATTGCCCCGGCCCGGCCTGCCCTACCCCCCAGTGTCTTATGTCCATTGGTTATGCTTATATGAATGCATACAAGTCCTTCGGTTGCATTCTTAAACACTATTATTATCAGAACCTAGATCATTCAGATTTTGAAATTTTCAACTTGAAGACCATGCTGTCTAGATCAGTGATTCTTTATCCTGGCTACTCTCTAGAAAGAAATATGGAGCTTTTAAAAAATATCTATTCCTTCCCTCACAATTGAATCAGAATCTCCCTACAGGTTATTTAAATGTATAGCCAGGTTGCAAACTACTGGTCTGGAGTTGGACAACCTGAGTTGCAACCTTTTGTCAACCCACCCTACCCCATCACACACCCCTCCACACCCAGGAAGAAACAATAATTAACAGTTAAAGTGAGTCAAGTGTCAGACAAAAATGGAATGTACTGGGAAAGCCTATACTTTAGGATGAGTGTCTCTTTAGAGCAGAGGTTCTCAGTCCTGGATGCATGCAAGAATCACTTAGGCAAGCATGTCAAACTCGCAGCCAGCGGGCTGCATGCCTCGTTTATTTAAACGAGTTTGACATGCTTGACCTAGAGCCTTGCTACTTATAACATTGGCCTCAACTGGAGACTTGATAAAATGCAGAGTCTGTGGCCCTGAATCAGTCTCAGAGCTACTGAGTCAGAACTCTGGGGGTAAGGCCCAGAAATCTGTGTTTTAACTAGAGCCCCCGGAGAATTCTTGGGCCCACTAAAGCTTAAGAACCACTGACCTGCATTTTAAAAGATAATGATAACTATGCCTGGATCCTTTCCCAGGCCAATTGACCCTCTGGGCCATGGTGCCTACATCAATGAGGTTTGTTTGTCTTTTGAGATCTCTAGGTGATCCTAATGTGCAGCCAGCGATATAACCATTGCTAAAACCACAGCTAAAAGCTGATTACGGAGACAGATTTACTCAGAATCAGTTATCCCCTAATCAGTGATGTGCTGGCCAATGTTTTAGTAATGAGCAGAGGCAGGGAAGCCCTGAGGGTAGCGTTTATAAATTTCCTCCCACCATGGCTGATTTCAAGCTACTAAAGAAAGGTCATTGAACGGGGATCGGGGATGAGTTGTGGACAGAGCCCTCTGGAGCTGGCTCCAGCACACGCTACCCGAAGTTGTTGTTGCCAAAATTGCTTTCAAAAGTACTGGATACATTATCCCAAGTTTGTCTTGTGTTTGTCATTGGCATTGTATCTTGACAGTTCAAAATCCCTGAGAAATTCTTTTGTATTCCGGAAGCATCCTTAAATTCTGAACCTGATTTTCATTCTTACAAATCTTTCAATTGTTACTTGTAGTTCAGAAACTAAAAAATATACCCACCATTTATTGACCACTTATAAATTTGTATTTGGTCATTTATTTATCAATTCTCACAACAAAATCAATATCTATTACTTTTTCCTATTTAATTAGGGGGAAGTCATGGTCAGCAAAGTCTAGAAACTTCCCAAAGCCACACAATAATGAGTGGCAGGGCCAGGACTAGGACCTACGTCTCTTTGTCTGCAGAGCCCATATTCTTGAGCATAATGCTTAAGTGGTGGCAAAAGAAGAGATATTTTCAAGTAACCCAAGAAAGTTGATAAATCTACAGGAAGAAAGCTGGGGTATAAACCTGATTTCAGAAATCCTTACAGCAACAATAAATGAGCAACTGAGCTTATAGCAATTTATGGCAGGCTGTTACTTTGAATTAGACAGGTTACTCAGGATTTTAGAACTGGTTTGCTTTATAATTAATCTTCCCTTCCTTTATTTTTTCATTAATGCTATACCTTAATTATTAAATGTAACTGAATTCCATGTATTATCTGTAAATAACCACTGATTATTTGTGTTACATGTACATATAGTAAGATTTTTGAGCCCTGAATAGCTCATACTATCTGAGGCATATTTATATCTCCTACAGTACCTAGCAAATTAGACACATAGAAGATTCAATAAAAGTCCATTGAATAATGGAATTGACACCTTCTCTTGATGCAATGAATGAGCAAATCCAAACAGCTCTTTTAAATCCCCTCTGGACAAGATAGAGTTTAATAATATGGAGAAAATATACTGTTCAAACAAAAAGAGACATTATTCTCAAATGAATTTTTCTAGACTCTTAGATAATCAAAACAATTTGACACTATATCTCATATATCATTAAGGTTTAAACCCACCTCCATAATCTAATATACTGCATGATAAACATTAACATGCCATTTGAATATTAAAGTAAAAACAACTGCTTCTTAGTTTTCATTTAGTGGGAACTAAGGAAAAAGAAGAATCAATAAATACCAAATAACTTCCTGGCCTCTTTTTATCACCCTTATCTTTCAAGATTACTTCCTTTTCATATACTATTTTTTCTATTTCCATAACCATAATAAAATATGGTCATCAGATTAAATTTTACTCAGACCGCAACACAAACATGTCCTGAAAACATTGTATTTATGCTATAGCAGCCACAGAATGTAACCTGCTGAATATGTGGTCCACTGAAAATGTAAAGATTCTGTATTTTTATGCCATTGATAAAGTCAACACCCGCAGAATCAATGTTAATTGTACATATTTTTTCTAAGGATAGATAACCTCACAAAGATATTTCTGCTTCTCTTAATTTCTGAATCTTTCCTCCATTGTGAAATAAAAAGGGTTAATTAATATTTAATTGTATCAATTTATTCTCTAGTTTAAAAGCTCACTTCTAAAAAGGAGAAGAAAGTTACCATGGCAAGTGGCTAATACTCCTGAATTCTGAGTTTAACTCAAGATAAAGTTTTCATAGATGAACAAAGGATTGCACAGTATGTAGCATTTGACAGCAATAATGAAAAGTTGAGATGGGTCTGCATTTTGTAAAGTTACTTTTCCATATATTGTGTAACATAAATATTAATGAAGGAAAGGAAAAAGTTAAACTCCAAGAATTAAGGAAAATCAAGGTTTGCCCTGGCTAGTGTGGCTCAGTTGGTTAGGCATTGACCTGTGCACCGAAAGGCTGCAGGTTGGATTCCCAGTTGGGGCACATGATCAAGTTGCAGGCTCAGTGCCTGGGGGGGAGAGAAACGTGGGGGGGCCATGCAGGAGGCAGCCTGTTGATGTTTTGCTTTCACATCAATGTTTCTCTCTCTCTCTCTCTCCCTCTCCTTTCCACTCTCTCTAAAAATCAATTTTAAAATCCTTAAAAAATTAAAAAATAAAGAAAAATCAAGGTTTGGAGAACCTTCTGGTTCAACATAACTGCTGTTGTTGTTGACTTTCTTGATGGTAAGCAAATACAAAACCTTCCATTTTTAATAGGCCTCATATTTGACAGATCACCTTCTGTGTTTCAGAAGCAAACTCTATGTCCAAAGAGCATAAAACCACATGGCCTTGGGACACTGCACTCTCATTTGTGGCTCTTCCTATGGTCATGCATTTAGGAATAGAGTCTCTAAACAGCAAAGTTGGACAGCCCTGACAACTTTCTGCATGTATGACTTTTAGACATTTTTATTCTTTAAAAATAACTGGCTTACTCAGAGGAGTTAAATAGGCTGTGGGACTTAAGGCAAGTCATGTCATGCTTCTGTGACTCCGGCTCCTATAAATGAAGAAACTGCTCCCAGTCTGAGTTACTTTTGTTTAGGAGCAAAAAAAATCTAAGTCAATGTTTATAATTAGACTTTTATAAACCATAGACTTTTATAGGGGGATCATATAATTTATCACGTAAACCATGACATTTTTTAGACTGGAAGAAACGATTAAGAATTAAGCTGGGAAAACAGGCATAAACCAGAACAGTCTAGGCTGAATGGGGACACACGGTCACCTTCCCTGTACAGCACTGTTGTCAGGAGAGGATGAGAAACATTGAGACACGTGCAGCTGCTTTGTTCAGGTTTGCTCTAAAAGGAGGCAGAGTGAAGGACACAGCATGTTGGCTTGGAGAATGCAGCCCCTTCGGGCGACTCACCTCAGCGTGTGGCCCAGTGCTTTCTGCCCCAAAGCTGAAATACTGTCTGTTCACCTCAGGACCTTGAGCCCTCCCAACAAGAGGACCATCGCTTCTATGTCTCTTTTCTAATTTATAAACATTACAATTGGGCTGCTCTGTTGCACCACCCCAGGGTCACCCCACAGAGAATACAATGTGCATGGTGCCTCGGCGTTATGTATCCCACTGGCCTTTTTCCTGCTTAGGGACAATAAAACAGATTTAGAAAGAAGGAGGAACAACCCACAAGAAATTGATTCGCTGATTTCTGGCGGCTCTGGTTGTGTGTTCTCCCTCAGCATAAAGTTGTGAACAGCCCGTGCACATTTCCGTAGGGGATGCCCATGTGATGATCTCCCTTCTCTCCCCCTCTGTGCAGCGACTCCAGCCAGCTCCAGCAGCTTCACAACCAGGTCCTGCTGGAACAGCAGCAGCTGCAAAACCCATCTCCTTCGTCTCCTAAGGAGTTTCCTTTCAACATGAGTGTATTGAACTCCATTGCTTCCCCAGCAGGGACAATGCCCAGCAAGCCTGCGAAGACCCCCTCACCGCAGACGTTCAGCCTGGCCCGGCCCAAGCATTTCTTCCCCTCCACGAATTCCAACACCGCCATGGCAGCCGCGGCCCCTGCCAGCTCCCCAGTGTTCACCCTGAGCAGCACTCCTCAAACCATGCAGAGGACAGTGAGCAAAGAAAGCCTCTTACTTTCTCACCCCTTCGTGCAAACCAAATCTCTAGGAGGAGTTTCCGTCCAGAACGAGCCACCCCCTCCAGGTCCAACGGAGCCAGCACAACCGCCACTCTCATTTCCCATCGCGGGCGGACACCAGTTTCAGCCCCGCTGTGTGTCTCCAAGTCCTGTCTCTCCCACCAGCCGGATTCAGAACCCTGTGGCTTTCCTCAGCTCCGTCCTGCCTTCTCTCCCTGCCATCCCACCCACCAATGCCATGGGGCTGCCCAGAAGTGCACCATCCACGTAAGTGTCGTTGAGGTTTCTCCACGGAAAAGGTGTCAGTTAAGAAGGGACACATACAAAACAGCTTGGTCTGGGACAGGAGTCTCACTGAGTGGATTCCTGCATAATCCTGTTTATTAGACACAACATGGATATTGAACACCTAAGGGCTTGATCAATTTAAATAATTTTTGTAATCAAAATGTTGAAAACACCTCTACTAACACAAATTCTCTGTGCAGTGCTCAGCCTTTGCACACAACATGCCCTCCATAAGTGCTCGATGGCCCCTGGTGTCTCGTTGCCATCTTAACCACTCTGATTTCTGGGCCTTTCTACACTGACCAGTGCTTTTCACGGGTGTGTTGGGTGTGAATTTATTTTACAGGCCATCCCAGGGACTAGTGAAGAAAAATACGAAGTCTCCCCAGCCAGTGAATGATGATTACATTCGTGAAGCTAAGAATGCAGTGATTCTAGACTTGGGGAAAAAAATGAATTTCAGTGATGTCAGATCAAACCAGCAGGTAAGATTGGTGGGTTCAGGTGGTTTATTTCAATGTGAGGAAAATAATTTTGCCTCATTCATTCCTTCTTCGGATGCTCAGGTCATCTTCACTTGCTTAGGAATCAAGCAGGGCAAGAGTCCAGCTTTCTGGATCTAAAAGTTTTCAAAGCAAAAATATCCCCAAACAAATGCATACTCTTCAAAAGAAATCACATGCTCGGTGAGGTTGTCACTGCAGTCTTGGAAGGTAGAGCACAGATTAACCAAAGGTCAGGTAGTAAACTCCATCCACGTGGATCTCAAGTTCTTGATTACCATGTAGTTAACTCAGTTTACCTGTTTGCTAGTGTTTACCTAAAACAGAATATGTTAAAGCAGGAGAGAGACTAGACAGTCTGTGGCCCATTCGAGCAATCCTCAGCTCGGTTTTGGCAGACACCATCACACCTTTGAGATAGTTCGATATCTGAGCTGGAGATGATCTATTCTAGACTTTAAGGAACTGGGTTCACGCTTCTTTTTTTCTGACTCCTTCAATCCAATGTGCCTGGAGGACTGCTCACCATTTCCTCTCAATCTTTGCATTTGCTGAAACATGTGAAGCAGCCATTAGGCAATATCCTGCGGTTCAATCTGTACAGATCCTTGCTTACTAGTAAATGTTTACACTAAAGGAGAAAGAGGAAAGCCATATGTGAACATCAAGTAAAAGAAAGGTAGACTGTTTTCTTATTTGAGTCATTTATTTTTGCATTTAGAAGGCGATGTGTTCTTTTAAATGCAGGTTTACATTTGAATAACCTAACTCTTGATTTATTTTCCAAGGTGGGAACTGATAGAATCTACTTTGAAATATAACATACAATTTCCATCAAAACCATATGCCAAATATTGTGGAATTTGTGAGATAAGTGCTGGAAATAAGACTGCAAGTGAGGCTCCAGTTCCCTCTGACCGTATGCTGTTTTCCTTAGTGTTTCTGTCTCTTATTTCCAGTGGACCCGTGGATGTATAATAGTTTACAATTGTGTTATATGTTGGGCAATTTTTATTGCGTGGATGCTTTTGAAAATGTGCTGCTTAAAACCTTTATAAAATTGACTTTAAATTACTGAATTGAAGCAGAATATTTAAGCTTCCCATGATTGAGTACACTTCCCATGTATTGTTTCACCAAATTACATATATTTCTGGGAGGCAAATACCAAGGCAATTATTCTTCTCTCCTGTCTTCTAGATAGAGAAACTGAGGCACAATTGTCAAACTGTCAGTGGTGGAACTACAACTAGCGCCTGGTCTCCAGGACACTTTCACATTTTCCCTGATACTCTGCTGCCTTTTTCAGTTTTATGACAATAGTTACCTTCAAGCCCCATAAATGTGGCTCTGTCTAGTGCAAATTTGTTTTTCTATAATACCGGCATCTATTTGTGGTTGTTAATCCTTCTAAGTGACATTGAAATCAGAGCTGTGTTCAGCCTATGTCTTTTACAACTCAGAAAGGACCCAATTAGAACCCAAGTAAAAATGGTACCAGGTCAGCACACGAGCTGTTTGATTAGTCTATAGGTAGATCCATGCTAATCCATGGCCCAAATCAGGAGAAAGTAGGGTTTTTCTCTTAATTACCTGAAATGTGAGCATATAGAAACATGAAGTTCCATCAGTTGAGTGCTAAAAACCCAGTAGAACTCCTTATTAAATCTCCATTGTGAATTAACTTCAGGGCAAATAGCAGGGACTCAGAGCAGTCTCAAAAACCCCTCAGTACTCTCTTCTTTAGGGAATTATTATTTAGATTAGTTTTAGTTTGCTTTCTATGTTTGGATAATGAAAGCCAAGCTGCATAAATGCAACTCAGGAAACTAAGGAGCTGTCTGAGCTGGAACGCTTGCATTAGGTTGATAGATGTTGATTCTGAGGAAGTTTTGAGGAATAAAATGATGACCATGTTATAATATTGTTTTATAGTGAAAATGTCGTGAAGAACTGCCTAAAATGTGGCCCATTAGTAAACTTAAGAAGAAGAAAATTTGCTTAGAAAAGTGGAGAATAATCATAAAGAAACACTTACGTATTGATAGCTATCTATACCTGCAGTCTGTTTTCAACAGAATACAGTTATCTGTTTTCTCACTTCCATGTTGACCTACACATATGAGGGGGAGCAAGTGATTTCTTTGAAGAGTATGTATTTCTTTGGGGGTTTTTTGCCTTGAAAAATTTTAGCTCCAGAAATCTGGACTCTTGCCCTACTTGATTCCTAAGCAAATGAAGAATAGTACCTGTCCTAGAGCATTTGTGTGGTCTAGCATTACTACACAATGCCGAGCATGAAAATAAATCAGAAGTCCCTAAACAGTTAATATTATTGATTACAGATAATTTCCTCCTCAAAACTCAAACTTATAAATTATTTTTTTAGAAAATGGGTTTTCTTTGGTATACCTATCACTTTTATTTCTCTGTTGTAATATTCCAGCGTTTATCCTCTAACTTGTTTTATATGACATTTCTAATTATCAATTAACATTTGCTTGTTGGTTCTTGGAACTTTGTGCAATACAAAGGTGTCATCAGATGTTCATATTTATTCAGATGTTCATATTTATTAAAATGTTTAGCTTTCTAAACTGACAACAGAGTTCCTTTGGGTTGGGGATAAACCAAGAGAAAGGTGCCCGATTTCAAGATTTTAGGCTGCATCACTTCTTATTTTGAAGGGTATCTTTTATTCAATAACAGTGGATCCTCAGTGAACATCAATAAAATTTAAATGGTTTAGGTCAGCAAGGTGAATCTGGGAGTCAAAGGAACCTAGGACCACAAAATGTGACGGAGCCTTCATGACCAGTGATTCTAATTCACACATAACTTAGCATGATGTTCTGAACCTAGTTACTAGTAATATTTATTGACTACTAATTTCTAAATCTACATAAACATATGCATGCGTGCACACAACATTTACTAGTAGCGTCTCATTTCAACTTTCCTCCTTGACCTCATTTCTCTCTAAACCTTCCTATCTCTTTATTCTGCTCCTCCCTCCCTTTCTTAATATGAATGCTTCTCCAAAACTGTCTGCAGTTCCCAGATA